CTCGCTCCCTTCGCCTCCCTCCCCCCCTCTCGCTCCCTTCGCCTTTCTTGCTTCCTTCCCCTCCCTTCCCCTTTCTCGCTTCTTTCCCCTTTCTCGCTTCCTAACACTCTCTCTACCCCTCCCAGCACCCCCCGCACTCGCTTCCTTTCCCTCCCTATCATGCTCTTCATCCCTTCTTTTCTTCCCTACCATCTCTGCCCTCGCTGTGCTTCCCTCCCTACTCTCCCCATCCTCATTTCCACTCCCTTACTACCCTCCCCACTTACCTTTTCTCTACACCCCTGCTTCAATCTCTACTCTCACTTCTTTATTAAACTGCCCCTTTCTCTTGCCCTGCTGTCTACGTATGTGTTCCCCTCTGATATGATTGTACAATGTAACAATCTGCGGAACCTTTTATAGCTCATTACAGGGAATTCAGAGATGTTTCTCTCCAGCTCCTGGAAAGTAGTGTTTTTCCCGGTTATAGATGACATATTTTTCTGGAGTCACTGCGCTGGTTTTCTGGCTCATCTTTTGGTTCCGTCATCTCATTGTGGGAGTTGACCAGAGATATGTAAAATCAGAGAACTGTGCCCTTAAGTTTCTCATTCCAGATCTGACCGAGATAAGAAACCCGCCCGTAATGTCTGTGTGATTCTTATTTGATCCTAGCTTGAAGTGAAGCCTGTCTGGGAAATATCACCGTACTGGAGATGGAGAAGGAGCAGAGTCACATGACTGAAAGGATATTAAACCTCACGCTGGAGATCATCTACCTGCTGACAGGAGAGGTGAGGAGGATTCTGGGAGGGTCATGGCATCACTTTTATTTCTGTTAGGGTTGAGCTTGGGATTGGTCTCATCCGAACCCGGGTGTTAGACATCAGTGCACTCCAAATCAGCTGCAGCCAGGCGAATATCCTGCCCCGCAGCCACACGTAAACAAAGGGGCGGGATGCTGGTGACATTATTGACCACATATGGCCACATGGTCATGTTAGGACAATGTCGTTGACCAAATACAGCCATGTGTCCAGAGAGTCCAGTGCATCCTGCCCTCTTGTATACGTGTGGCTGTGGGGTGCAGAATGCCCGGACTGCATCTGATTGGGCACACTGATGTCTAACACCCGTGATTGGGTGAACCTGAGCCTATCCTTGATTTTTATTAATAAAATGCAGATCTGACCAGAGACATCAGGAGGAATATGGAGATATTATTGAGAGTAAAGTGTTTGGTGCAGGATGTGAATCATTCACTAAGTTGAAGTGACATGAATTTGTATCCTAACTATAAGGATTACACAGTCGTGAAGAAAACGTCTGACAAGCGTATGACACTCAGCAGTCACCCCGCTAGGTCAAGACAGTGTAACAGGAGACAAAGGTCCATCATAGAGCCCCCACCACCCTCCCTGATACCTGAGAGAAACAACAAGAAGATTCTAGAAGTCACCAAGAAGATCATTGAGCTGCTGACAGGAGAGGTGAGCGGTGCCGGGGATTCTGGGACATGATCCAGGAACAGACAAGGGATGTGTCTGGATGGTGACTGTATCATTGTGTGTGTCAGGTTCCTATAAGGTGTCAGGATGTCTCTGTCTATTTCTCCATGGAGGAGTGGGAGTATCTAGAAGGACACCGGGA